TGGATTCGCTAATCTTTCAGTCCAGCCGCATCTCTCGCCTCACACCTCCATTTCAAGAAGAGTAGTATGGATAGTGATTTTCTTGATACTTGATGGTAAACATTCTAGCCTCCAATATCTCCCGAATGGACATTCACCGCATCGTTATCATTTGCGTCGTCATCATTATCTTGATCATCATGGTCGTTATCATCAGTTGAAACACTCATGCCAAAATATCATCATACTGTTCCTCTAGCCATCTTGAATTTCAAATGCACCCCCTCTCTTTCCTCTCTGTGAGTGAGTGAATGTGAGAGAGATCTAGTAATCCCGAGTAGCCAAGACTTTCGAACTGCGCGCCAACTCGATACAAAACTCCGCCCAGTCGCTCTCACCGCTGCTGGTCAACACCTCTTCCTTGATGGCCGATTCCAGGCGCTGCCCGTATCGCTGCTTGAAGTCATCCTTCACGCGCTCCAGATGCCGCGGTTCCCAGTGCAGCCGGACCAGGCGCGAGATCAGTAGGTCTGACCGGTCCTTCCCCGGGCGGGACTCGCGAAGGGCTTGGTGGAGGAGCTGAGCATCGCGCATCGGCCGGTTGATGGCTCCATTGAGAATATGCGCAAGAGTCTCTCCCTAATCTCGGTTAGTCCATTGACAATCTTTGAAAATGATAACTCCTTCGGAAACATACCACCAGGTTTCGGGACTTGCTAATCATGGCTTTGGCAAAATTGTGACCGTATCTCTTTTCATACGCACGGAGGACCTCTCGCAAATGCGAATCACTCCGCCGCACAATGATGTAGATCATGGGCGTTTCTCCCCCATGTTGTGTCATTAGTGCGGCATACAAGTTGTGCACGTCTTCATCCACTAGACGCATATCAATTGGGTCGCGCTCGCTCTGTCGGCTCTCTTCCAAGACAAGGAGCACCGCCGTGCGGAATTTGTCTCCTTTCAACTCGGCCTTCATACACCTCTCCAGACTGTCTTTATATCGTGAATCTGAGAAGCCCTTCTTGATCTCGCGGATCTCTCGGTTAGTGCGACCGAACAGACATTCGATGAGGAGTTCACGCCTAGAGTTGCCCAACTGGTAAAAGCAGTTCGCCCAGAAGCCTTCGGATTCCCAGCGACCAAGAGCGGTGGCGTGGCATGCCTTGCCAAAGGCATCGACTCCAACCCTAAGTTTGATGAGCTTGGCAATGTTGATTCCCTTCCCATGCAGTTTGTTATGTCTTTTGAACTCGTCGCGGAGTTCCATGATTTCATCTGCACTCAAACGCGGCAGTATGCGGATCAGAGCCTTTCTATCGGGATGTCGTGGCCGTTCCAGGGCATCGTGAAGCGCTGCGGCATCCGGACCCGCATCATAGAATGACACGCGTTTCTGGCTGCGACTGGGGGTTCTCACCACGACATTCTCAAGTTCCCCAGAAGCACGGTGCTCGTACCGCACGCGGCTGCTCTCCCTCTTTCGGCTGCTCTCCCGCTTTGGGCGTTCGACTGTCAATGTCGTACGCTCCCGATCATCCTTGGATTTCTTCCGTCTATGTACCCTGAGTTCTTCATCCGAATCATACTCAAGAGGCTCCATATCGGAAATGTCGCCGTCCAGCCTGGGGGCAATGACGATCGGTGATGGCATGGGTGATATGCTCTGATACGTGCCTTTGTATGGTTCCAGCATTGGACTGACAGGCCTGCCGGTCGGGTCGGGGCCCTCGACCGCGAGGTTATTGACAGAAGATACGGAGCGACTGTGAGGACGCGTGGTGGTCCGAGGCGCTATTTCGACGTACTCCATTCTATTGCCCGAGCTGGTGGTAGGCACCTTAGAGAATTGAGGATTAGCAGAATATTTGACATCGGCAACCTGTGGCTGTTTGGCTGCAGTAGCTCCGGCTTTGGTGGAGAATTGGGGTGTTGTCGAGTATGCGACCGGCTTGGCTGCGCTATCTGCTGCGCTTTTAGAAGCATATTTAACATTTGGATCTATGTGCGCGTATTGGTACTGAGGTGGGGCAGCGTAGGGTGTCTTGACAGTCGCATCAGTCGAAGCAGTGCGCTGATGTGCCGAAGCCACATGAGTATAGGCGTTCCCCCCAGGCATCGACAGTGGACGGCCATTAAACGATGAGTAAGTCTCCTGCAAGCCCTGTGGAGTCACGTAGCGTACGGAGGAAGTAGTGGCGGCTGCTGTTGTAGCAGGTACAGAGGGCTCAGTGGTTGCAGGATACGGAAATGCCCCGGGCATGGATGGAGCTTGCGCCTGAGAAGTTGGCGGCACGAAGCCCGGTCGCTCACACTCTGGGACCGGTGCCCAGTTGGCCTGAGCTGTGGATGATGCAGGATAGCCACCGTAGGGGGAAGGCTCGGGACTGGCGAAATTACCTCTGATTTCTTCTCTCGAAGGGGTGTGAGAGTGCGACGGCCTGCTGCCGTGGGCTGCATCGTTATTAAGAGCCCCGGACATCATAGCAGGATCCTTGCGACGTGTAGAACCAAGCTTAGGCATATAACGCTTGAGACCTGAGATTCCGTATGTTTTGTTGTCGCGGCTCCCGGGAAGATCACCGTATGCAAGCGCATCATCATCGTCCGAACTCAGCGAGTCGAGCGAAGACTCACTTTCGTAGTGAACAGATAAACGATGGCGTGAATTGCGCGGCCCGGCGTCACGCCTTGTCCCTTTGCTTTCTCCCGAATCGGATTGATAATAATGATCGCGGCCGAGTTCGGGTCGCAGGTAGGCTTCCCGTCCATCAGACTGCAAATCGGGACCAACAGCGCCATACCGCGAGCTAGTCCGATGAGCGCCACCAGGGCTTACACCTCTGCTGCGTGATCGAGCGCGGAGCTTTCCATCATTGAGGTCAGAGGTGTAATAACTGCGGGGATCACCGGCGGACGGATCGCGATAATCGCGAGACTTGGAACGCTCGCGGATACGGCCGCTTGGGGACTTGGAACGGCCTCGCGACCATGGGTCGTCCACCTGGAGCGACATGGATCAAGGCTGGGGAATGAACCACCACGGGTAGGTGAAGTGCGACAAGTGCGACAGCCGATCGCCCACACAAGAGGAGCCAAGATATGGTGCAGACTAGGAACTAGCTTTGCACGGAGGACACAGTTCTCAGGTTACTTGAGAGCGTAGGTTAGCTTGATAAGCGTGAATGGAGACGGAAAAGAAGAACGCAAGAAAGAAGGAAGAGAGGACGGGCAGAAGGAAGAGACGAAGAGGAAGAAGAAGTTAAGAAGAAAGAGTGGCACTGCTTGTGGGAGGAAGCGGCCAAGAGCAGCAGATGGTGGTTGTGTGTGGTGGGAGGGAGACACAGCAACTGATCATCGGCGGGATCGCGTAGAGTTCAGCTGGGGAAATTGGCCCAGTCGGGGTTTCAAGCAAGCAGTTTATGTGTAGTGGGACTGCAGGATAAGGGCACGGAGCTTTGTCATTGGTGTGCCGGGGCATCAGTGAATCAATCCTCAACTGAAAGATTCGCTACTGTACTTTCCCATTCCAATCCTTCATTCGAGGCAACCAACGCCCTCTGGACGGAGCCGCACACTGTTCTGTGTGCACTGTACAGTATTAGTCCTCTGCAGCCTTGCGAGCGCAACGCCGGCCCACTGGGCGCGATATTAATGTGCGACAGATATCCACTGGTCTCACGAATGACGGCCGAGAAAGCTTGGGGTCCAGAATCCACATTCCTGCCGGCCAGACCGTGAGTCAAACCGCCCCTCTTTACGTCGCTCTAGCGCTCGTATACTCTCCGCCGGCAGCTGGACGAACCCCTCGCGCAACGAAGCGTCATTGGTCGTCTCGTACTCAGCTTGGCCGATCCCGCCATCTTTAGCCTGCAGGAAAGTCTGCGAAGGTGCAGCATCCTGGCATGGCGCTGAATTAGCTGGCCGGCGCTGTCCACCGGTTCTAAATCTACTGGTGATTCATTCAGATGACTGACCATCGGAAAATCAGGCAAGCAATTTTTTGATGCTTCCTGACTACGGGAGGACTGGCCTTCCGGGCTCCGACTAAGCTGGGAAAGGATGATCTGTTCTTCCTTCATAGGTAGATGACTGATCGACAGAACAGTTCATACAGATAAAGCTGAACAGTGCATAAGGCAAGCGGCGACGCCGTTGGCAAATAAGAGCTGGTTCAACGTCTACAACAGCATCAGCCGGGGTTCCTGGCCAATGGACCAAAATAGGATGTCTGGGACACGAAGCATGGCCCAGCAACAAGGACCGAAGGGTATCAAAGGTTGAATAGTGGCTCTTTAATCATGGCAAGTGGCCGAAGAGAATATGGAGAATACATGAAGATGGAAGATAAGATTTAAACAACGGTCAGAAAGTTAAAGTGCGGGAGAAGAAGCATAAAAGAAAAAGAGTAACTTGGCCAACTCAGCCAGATGCTGTGTTGGGCACACAAGATCGGGCTTGTGCAGATGTGGAGGCACTAAAACACCTAGTCTGATATCACAGGCATGTAGAAATGGAAGCATAATCTCGCGATAGTTCATCAGAAAGAAGAAAAGAAAAAGTCACTCAATTCAGTACAATTGCGCAAATACATAGGAAATCGGGTGTCTCTCTCAACTATGCTCGAAGGCAAATGGGAAACAGAAAATACAATGTCCAAGTCAGGCGACTTCGGAAGAAGTAAAACACAACATGCTGGGACGCTTCGCTCATGAGTTCCGGGGCCCATTCAAGGCAGATAAGGGGTATCTTTTCTTTCCATATTAATGGCACTTTTGGCCAAGGTTCCCAACATTTCTCCGCAAGAGGGCTTGGGCAGTCAATGAGACAAGTCGGCATTAACGTCATTAGTCAAAAACTACACAGTATCCCTCCGGGTCCAGGACGGTACACGGTCGCGACCGCGAGCAGCAGGTAACAAGAAGGGTCGAAATTAGTCCACACGAACAGAAAGAAGAGAAGGTTCGCGAACAAGATATGCTATGCTGAAGGGGTATTGAATGATGACCGGCTGCAAGTCATTAGCGGAACCGGCGCACATCCGGTCCAGTTCTCCCCGCATACAGCTTCTTCTGGGGTGCAGCGCTGGCCACAGAAACATTACGGTTCAAGCGGCTGGTTCTCCACCTCTCATACCAGACCACACGGCTCGCTTCGCGGAGGTCAGAGCGCCATTCGTTGAATACGGCCTCCTTCAGTTTGAGGAAATCACAGTGCTCGGAGTTGTACGGGTCAGCGAACCCCCAGGCAAACTTGCGCCCAACAGGCTCATCGCCAGCCCTAAGTGAATGTGGGTCGGGAGACAAGATGGTGAAAGGAATATGCTGAACGACGGCTTGGGAACCGGAAGACTTGCGCGTGTCCTGACTGCGCTGGGAGGGCGAACGTGGAGACCGGGCCTCTGCACCTTCCTCGTTCGCAGCGCTGGCCTCCGCATCCTGTTCGGTATCTTGACCTTGCGCCTCCTCGTCCTCATCATCGCTCTCAGAAGATGTGTACTCTTCCTGGTCGTCCAAAGAAAGGATCTCCAGCGGGTCAATATTGGCTTTCTTCAAGCTATCCCAGACAGCCTTCCTGAGGTACGCCATGTGGGCTGTGGTGATCGTATCGGCCTTGCTGATAACCGGAACAACTGTGGTCTTGCCCACTATGGTTCGCAGGACCTGAACATCAAGACGCTCGTCGAGAACACCAACGACAGGTGTATCGGTTGCCCTGGGGGTTCCCTGCGCAGCCCGCTCTGCAGCCGCTATATTCTGGTCCAAGCGGACTGGATCCAGGATCAAGAAGGTGCAATGGATATGGGTGTCGCGAGCTCCAGGTGACCGAACAACCTTCATTTCCTCACTTAGCGTTTCCTCGAACTTACTTTCCAGGAACCCAGTCACCCCTCGTAGCTGGATGTCAACGATGTTCTTCTCCAGGCCTTGAGAGTCCCAGAGGGTCAGACCGACTCGTTCGCCGTCGATCTCTGTCTCCAGATAGTGGGAAACGTAGCCCTCATTGGCGGGGGATTGGCGAGCTTGGTATGCGATTTCCTCTGGTAAACGGGAGGGGTGCTTATGCGGCGGCAATTCCAAGGACTTCTTGAGGAAATTGAGAAATGAGGTCTTGCCCGAGTTACTTGCGCCGACAACAAGGACACTAGAAGCACATGAGAATTTGACCCCACCGAGCGATTGACGGTAAACAAAGCGACTTACTTGTACGGGGTGGGATCCTTGCGCCGACGCAGCCGACGCGGATTGTTGACGGTACTAACAGCACTGCTTGCGTAGCTATAGCGTCCACGGTGTGTCATGCTCTCTGCTCGTGCGTAGGCGTCGCTCGGTTCCGGGGCAACTGGCGTGCTTATCGTACTGCGGGGCACAGCTTGCTGCTGAGATGAGTCGGGCTGGCTTGCAAGTGCAGCAACAGTGTCCCGGCGCTCATCGCCACCAAAGGTCTCAAGAACTGGAGCCGGCGAGAGATCAGGTAGACGCGGGGGTTGTTGATACATCATTGACTCGCGCTGGCGACGAGCTTCTTCTCCCGCCGTCTGAGCCTTCGGCATCTTCTTTCCGTTCTTGCTTCCGGACGAGCGTCTTTCGCCTAGAATTTCAATAGACTTGGAGCGACGAAGAAAACCCAAAGAAGATGTTCGGCGTTGGTCTTTGGTGTCCGTGACGACAGGAGGGACTTCTGCGGAAGGCTGAGTCCGACCCGGGGTCCGGGGTGCTGGTGAAGCGGTTGCCATTGGTTTTTATTATGGGCGGGCTCTTCCCTACCCTTATCACTCACTGGCTGTAACACAAAATGGGGGGATTTGCCAAAGAAAAAGTGGGGACGCAGGGAATGAATCGTGTCTCAGATATAGACGCAACTCTTCTTTTTCGTCCCAGAGGATCAGTTAGTTTAGTGTACCCGGGTTCTTCTTGGGTTCGATCTTGAATAGGAAGGCCCAGAGCTGGTTCAATTGATTTAAATCACCCTAGCCCGAAAGACAAACGAAGTCAGTCCCAACTCATGAACAACAATCGAAACTTGACTCCATCAAGACTAAGCTAATGATTGTGCGGTCTTGCGGGATTGTTGAAAGATCATAATATTATTTCGGGTTGTATGATTAACGTACCAAACTTACACGCTTATTCTGGAACCAGTCGCGTGTTCCTCCTCCTTTTTGTCCAGTTGTAGCACAACTGCCTCGATGAGTGAATCGATTCTCGATCAAGCAAGAGAATAAATACTCGACCAAAGTTAGAGTGTCGGTGACCAAAGATGCAATTAAAAACGACACGGCTTTTCAGTAATCACAGAATCGACATGCACAAGCCCAGCAAGCGATTGTCGATCTTAACCCACGTCGCCTGTAGAGAAGCAGCGGGGCTTTAATGGAAAGAACAAACGGGATTTTAAGTCTGTCTGTCCTTTTTTGACTCACGATCCTACCAGGGAGAGTTGAGGAGAAGCCTGCTCACAGCGTCCGACTAAGGCGGCGCATACAATTGCGATAAGATCAAATAATATCAGAAGAAGAGAAGGATGAAGAGGGTGGGAACAGAAAGAAACGGCACAAAAAGGATGACGGCGCTGGAGGGCAGATGATGATCGACCAGTGAGAACGGAGAACAGGCAATGCTTTCCTGTCACCGAACCGACTCGTTGCGCAAACAAAAAAGACCCAATTGACTTGACCTCTCACTTTCCTGTCACTGTTTGTTGGGAGTCTCAAGAGCTTGCTGAGTTCTCCGACACCCTTTTGTGGTTGTTGTTGTTGTTTTGTCTTTTTTTTTTTATTTTTTTATGCTTTTCTTTTTTGAGGCGAATGTTGTTTTTCCTTATTTCTTTTTTTTTCTTCTATAATTTCTTTTGTCGCTGCACCTCGTTGTCTCGTTCAGGCGGAGAAGCAGCTCGGGAAGCTTTTTTGGAGCTGGATGAAATTCAGGGGCAAAACGGCAGCCAGCAGGGGAGCTCGACCTTTCCCATTCTCCCCCACTCAGCACGCTCTCCGAATGTATTAGGTTGCTACTTAGGTTGCTTCTAACTCCCGACTTGGTCTAGGGCCGGACGGCTAAGCTGGAAACTTTGGCTCGCACACTGGAGCGGCAGCCCGTTTAGCGATTTCAGTCCACGTCTCTCCAATGCAGTACGACACCGTTTGCGTTGGTATAACCGGGGGGGGTCATAGGGGAGGGGGGCGAGGTCAGCTTATTTGGAATGATATCTGCATCATATCTCTTCTCTGCTTTGTTTCGGTTGGAATGCTAACACCTTACGGAGAATACCAAGGGCAGTCTAGAAAGTAAAAAGGCCGATCAAATCCACTGTACCGACGGAGAACGTCCAGATGGAGGAGGGAGCCACAACTGCCTGAATAATGAATGATCTTCCCCAACACCCATATCTCAACGCTCGTGCAGTAACTAACTACTTCCTTAACGGAGTCAGCCAGAATTGGGGTAGTTAGATAACTACTCGGTGGTCTAGAAGTTAGACCGGAACCAATTCAGTAGTGTCTAGCCGATAGACACGGATTGGATACATCCTCATGCTGGATCAGGCGGTGATCAAAACTCCATCCACACGTGGGTACTACGTGCTATCGACTGTCATCCCATCCCTTGAGTCCACCACCAGATTCTGGTTGCATATGGCATGCATCCATTCCTACTGTCGTCACTCTGCGATCATATCTCCTGTCCCAGCATGCCGATCAGACTTTGTCCGACTGCTTTAAAATACAACAGATGATCACTCACACAGAGATATAGTAAGTATCCTATCAAAAAAGGGGCGACAGGAACAGTTCGGCATTTCGGTTCTTCCCGATACCTCTAGACAGCAAACCAGCAAAACAGACAAGACAGACACACACACAAAACCGCCCCTTTTCTTAGTGCGGGGAGGCAACCCCCTAATCCAGTATAGTCGGAAAACCTTACGTGGTCGGGTAATAATAATACTGTTATTAAACGATTACTGGCAGCCCAGCAATGAGCAATCAGCTTACTCCCTCCCAAATTTGCCCATGTTCCCGTGCTCATCCGCCTGCTCGTGCCGGTCAGCCCCTGAGTTATTAGAGGTTGCTGTCGGACCACTCCCTATCAGGAACAGCCAAACTCAAGAAGTAGGAAGTAAGCATAGTCTACAGTAAATACCTGATGGAAGAACATACCTAGGCCATTCTACCATAAGCTTCTGTAATACAGACTAGTTGATGTGAGTCCCAAATTTGCGTTCTATCTAGTCAGTTCTCCTCCCTCTTGCCCTGCAGTGGGAATGTGAATCTGGACTGGATGCAGCAGAAAGCAGCCGTATTTAGAACATCAGATGATCAATCTCCCAAGAGGCTGACTTGAAAACACACACACACACACACACACACACACACATAACAATCTAATCCACAATCCCACACAGTAGTAGTGTATACCCTGTCTTACAAAGTACTCCGTCCTGTATTCCGATCTCCACTTATATCCACTCCCCTCTCTCTGTCCCCTCCCCGTTCTCAACGGTTTATGCCATTCTACCCTGCACTGTAACCAATCAACAAAAACGGTATATATAAACAAAAATGAAAGAAGAAGAAGAAGAAAAACTACCACACTCTCTACATCATCTCACCCTCCTCATCATCCCAAATACGAAAAGGCAGCACGACGCAAGGACTATCCGGACAAACAGTCGACCTGACAAGGTGTTTGAATTTAGGCCCGTTCGGGCCCGCACTGTATTTCGCTTGTCCAAAGAGCTCCGGTCCCCCCGGCAATGCGTCGTCTCCCCACTGTCCATTGAACTCCAGCCAGTTGACTGGATATCTGCGGTCGTAGGGCTGGAATGTCTGGCTGGCTGCGTCGAAGCTATATGCGTTTGCGTTTGCGATGGGATCCCATAGGGTTCCTCTGTCTGTGTAGTCCATTACGAAGCCGAAGGGGAGGTTGAGGTGTGGGATGGCGTGGTCGTGGGTGCTATGTATTCCATTAGGTTATCATATGTTGTTTTAGCTATAGTTGTTTTCTGGGGAAAGCCGATGTTATAATGCTCTCTAGGGGCAGTTCATACGTACCCAGGTACTGCATATACGGCATGAGAACCATTTGCGGAGTATGCGATCGGTCTTTTGCCTTGCTTCTCTGTTGCGTCGTAGGTGAAGGCTTCACCTCCGGCATGTTGGCTGTACCAGATTGCTTGTGGGACTCCGTTATCAAAGCGAATCATGTTGTGCTCCCTAGGGATATCAGTTGGGAATTGATGTAGAGAGAATTAGAGGTGTTGCGCACCAGTCACCGACGTGGTCTCCAAACTGCATTCCCAATACTGTGTTTCCCATATTGTACCTTTCATATTTTCAGCATGGGCTGTAACTCGCTCTGAGTCCTACGGATCACTTACGCATAGAAGTAAAAGTAGAATGCATCTACTGTCCCATTTCCATGATCACGAGTGATGATTGTCGATGAGACAGCTCCATTCGTCTTACCATTTGTATCTGGCCTCACTCCACGAAACCATGCTGGCTCTGGAGTAGCATCAATGCCCTCTATTGAGGTTAGGTAGACGCTGGTGTTTCCCAACTTGTTGAGTCCTGCGAGGTTATTGAGCGTTAACGGCGATGGTGCTCCTTTGATTGCAGTATAATTCACCATTGGTGTTGTGTGTACAAGCTGTTGTCCGATATCCGAAGGCATGTATGTTTCCTTGCTATATAGCCATACCAGCGGTGCTGGTTTTGGATTAGAATAGTGGTGCAGGTAGCTATCCTAGAAATCGCTTACCATAGTCCATTACATAGCATGGTAAAGCGGTTGATGTCAGATTATAGGCCACGATTGTCTCGTTGGGCTTGGTCATTGACAGGCGGAACTGCAGCACAGTGGAGAAGAACTGCATTAGAAAGGTCCACATGTTGACTAGTCGACTGTCATTGATTTCTCTATCAAAAAGTGTAACCAACTGTAGAGAGAGCTGTTTCCACTATTAAAGGCGCAAGTGCAGATAACGCGCAGCAGTGTTGTTCCCAAACTGTAGCCAGCAGCGTATTAGCGAAGTTATATTGCAGATGTGCATATCAGGTGTAGAGAGTATGGACCTGCCACACGGTGTGGTACAGTCTGCAAGCCAATGTCTATCTGACCTTCTGACACTTCCATGTCGAGGGTTATTGCTGGGCCCTCACTGGTAAGGCTAGTCCGGGGATTGTGGCAGGTGATGGACCAGAAGAAGGCAAATCGTTGCTTTTTCCTCAGCCCCGTGTGGAATACTGGCTGCAGAAACAGATGTGGCCGTCTCCTTGCCCACCTGCGATCTTCATTGCAGGGGTAGTCCCAGGGTCCAAAGCATTCTGCAACCATATTGGTCGCGAATGAGTAGTTTTGCGATAAGCATGATCTGGAGTGGTGCATCTGATGGGCCCTTGTTTGGGATCATAGATGAATGTGATCGTCCGGTCACACTCTGCTCCGGCCAGGTCCCGTGATGCTGTCTGTAACCAGTCAGGTATGCGCTTTTTATCCCATGCCAAATTCCTTGCTTCTCAACCCATACAGACATTGACCACCTCACCGAGGGGATTTACTCGGGTGTCTCATGCATGGACTGGCGCATAGTTCATTCAAATGCTTTGTTAGCCTTATGAATACCCCTCGCTCGCTCAGGTCCAGAGAATGCTCATATGCTAACATGTTATTGGATATCATAAACAGACAAGCCTTCTTAGCGTCCATTCCGGGTTCAAACTGTTGGAGTCAACCAAGGCAATACGACTGACTACATAGAAGCCAACACCATCCCGAAGTGAGCACGGATCAACAGAGAACCAAAATTATAACTTCTCTTCTGCCGCCGCCGCCTTCTTCTCCGCCTCAAGCTCCTTTCTCTTCTGCGCCTCTTTCATCAACTTGAATAACCGTAAATCGAGAGGTATCCTTTCACCCAGCCAAGTAGCACGTTGGGTGTGGTTACGCTCTTCCTCGGTTTCCACCGTATTCGGATGGATCAATGCACTCAAGGGTCCCCGATTGACAACAAGCCAGGGCACAAAGGCACCAAATTGTGCAGGAGTGAAAAGGTTAACTTCGAACATGGCCACTGGATGAGGCCCTATCGGCCTGTCGAAGAACTGATAGATTCGTAACTCGGGAACTACTCAAGTCAGTAGTGTTACTACACGAGTATTAAACCGCTATTTTGGAAAGGGGATAATACTCACATTCGCGCCTGATCCTCTCCCATAGGGCTCTTGCAAAAGCAACCTGATCTGGATTGTTCTTTATGATGCAAAGTCAGCCAGGAAACTATGATGCTCAGTACACAAGTATCCACCAACCTGGAAGTGATAGATATGAATATCGAAGCCCCCACGACGACCCTTGGTGAGAGGGTCCGGGAACTCCTCGTATGCCTTACTCAGAATCCCATGTTGAGGGTTTCTTAAGGACTTTCCATCCTCGTTTCTCTCTCTGTACCATGACACGGGTTAGGCTCAACGCGTAAAACAATATATCATCCATTCATCTATCTGAATCGGTATTTCACCTTACTTACTCAGATAGCGGTTCTAGGTTCTCATATCCCTCTAACGGTGAGGGATACGAATATGCAAACTGGTCCGTCATTTGAGCTCAGGCGTCGTCGGAGGTACACAAATGAGATGTGCCTGCTCCGCGTGTGGAGGGCTTATTAAAGACAGTAATTTGATCAACTGCCGCTTTAAGCAGCCTTTAACCCAATCTTCAGCGTACGGATGATAATCCCCTATATTCTAGACGTTGTCTGATAGTAAATGCAGCAGTATTCTCAAGCAGAACGATGGTAAGAAAATCAGCTGCTATCCGAGTCCATATCCGACAGTACTACCAAGTTCCGCCATCGGATAGCGGCGACAACATATACCAATCAACTATGACCAGAAAGACCCCCAATAGTACGTCTGTCTAATGTCTTACCAATCAAGTCTTGGACTCTGCCACAAAGAGCGTCGGGTCTTATCCACTCATTGTTACCAGCGATGAGGCCATTTTCAGGTGATTATGCAACAGTATTGCGATATTCCGCACTTATGACAAAAGTGCGGAACCGGGTGAGGGGCTTGTCTTGGCGTGTAGACCCGTTGTTTTGTGCCTGAGGAAAATAGAGTTTTATGGGGGAGCAGTATGCTATAGAGTGAGGGGGAAAAGAAAGAAGCTTTTATTTATGTTTCTATTCGAGGAATGTTGGGCTTTGAGTCGGCATTATTTATAAAATGCACAGCTGCTTTCACTTAGAGTGGTTGGTATGCAGCTTGAGAATCCTTCGGGATTCAAATATATTTTCCTAGCGTTCTGATAAAGGCCTGGATTTATTTAGACCACACCCCGCAGCTGATTTTATCTATGGTGATTACTAGTACTACAGGCTAGTCAGAGATTGGCTTTAGTACTATCAATGCTTGAAGAACAGATACAAGCTACTGGCCCGTATCAGTGGATATCATTGTAAGAAAGTAATCTATATAACGCCAGGGAGCTGTGATTCACAATATGTTAGATATGTAAAGACCCCCAAGATCAACTGATATCACCAGGAAGCTTTAACGTCAATATGCCCATCCTGATCAACAAACTTGCCCCGATCCCACTCTCGCCCCTCACCCTTCTTAGACCACTTCACATCCTCTAGCCTGCCTTCTGAGTCATCCGCTGGCGTGGAGGTAGTGTTGCTCTTCCAACGGTCCACAAATTCGTTACTGAAGCCAGCTTCCCGCAACCTCTCCTCGCCCCTCTGCTTCCATTTTGCCCGATCACGCAACGCCTCCAGAGAGAGTTCCCAGTCGTCATCTCCAGTCATTAGACCAGCGACAGGACGGCGGGTAGGCCAGCTACCTGCCTGCCCATCATCATCCTCCAAATGTACATCCGTAGTGGGGTCGTAGTCAGGGGCAAAGTGTGCATCGATGTTGCTCATGTTGGGTTTGTAGGCACCGCGACCGCGGGAACGAATGGGCGCTGAATACCCATGATCGTTATCTTTCGCCGGTAGGGGTCCGACAAGGTCTTCAAGAGGATCCGACTCATCATCCAAAGGCGTTTCCTCCTTGAATTGTGCATGAGTAAACGTTTGTTCTTTGCTTGTCGATGTACTATTTCTTCTAGACAGTTCCTTATCACGAGAACTGCGGTGACCCCTGCGCTCGCTATCTCTAGTCCTGCGCCTGTCAGATGCTCCTGGGGACCGCGAACGTGATCGTGACGACTCATGGCGGTTGCGATATCGTCGGCGATGGCTGCGAGAATCAACATCCCGGCCGTGTTCCGGGGATCGACTCCTTGAACGAGAATCAGATCGGTGGCGACGACTCCTTCTCGAGGATCTATGCCGGTCGTCATCGGTATCTTGAGGGTCACGCCTCCGTCGGCTCCTATGCGATTGGCCTCTCCCCTCCGATGCGGAGCGACTCCTATGTTTCCTTCGACTAGAGCCATATTTGTCCTCACGATCCCGTCTTCTATCGTGTCGCGACTCTCGATCGGTTGACGTACGCCGACTACGACGTTGATCGCGATTCGTATCGTTCGCTGAAGAGGATGACGCCTGGTTCCGCAACTGTCGCATTCGCTCCCTGGCCTCCCGTTCTTCTTTCCGTTTCAATGCTGTATTGTGATTGTCCGTCTCTCGGATTATATGTCGGAGGAATCGTGTGTTCGGTTTAGGAGCGGCGCCTGTAGGCCTGCAGCAATAAATTGTCAGCTCAATGATCGTCGTAAAGTATTCGCTAGAGAAAGTATATACCTTTTGGGCATGTATGCTTCCAATCCATGTGACGAGTATTTCAGGGAGCTATCCCGTGCCTCTCGTGCGAGAACCTGTGCAACGTAGGCATCGTCGCTGAGGTCGCCGATTGCTTTTCCGGTGTTGGGAGGCATGCTGTCGGACCGTGGGACTGGAGCAAAAGTGGGAGGGTAGAAGTGGGGAAATAGAAATATTTATATCATATTAATATATAGCGCCCATCCAGTAATTGTATCATCCAATCCGAAAGTGAATCTATAAAGAGAAAGGAAAGCGCGGCCAAGTCTACAAATGTGGGAGGCAAGAGCCATACATGCGGCGATATTGACGCTGCTGACCGGTGACTTCACCGCCCGGCTGATAAAGTGGTGGGTCCGATGAATCTGTTTACCTCCGCAATGTTTCTGCCGACGCGCGATAATTAATGGTTTTTGCCTTCACCCCTCATCTCATTGATTCGAAGACGCGATAGATCTACCCTTACACTGCCATTGGAATTGACTATATTGGGTTATTGAGGGATTTCACGGATTTATCAAGGATACAATGGCCAGTTTAACACCCGCAGAAGCACGAAAACAACTGCAGCAACTAGCAGACGACAATGGCGACTTGAAAACACAATTGAACATCCTCCGCATCAGCGAGCCGATATTCTCCCCTGACTCTGATACCAGGCGCTCATCACCATCTAAGCGTAGGTCAGATGTATCTACCTTTGAAACACCGACACCTGCTTCCTTGGAAGCGGACTTGACACACTATAAAGTATGAACAAAATTTCCCGAAGTGGGGTTGCTCTATAAGACCACCTATTCGTGCTGACCATACTCGGAAAGGAATTGTTCTCGAAGTTACGCTTTTCCTACGTTGAGCAAGTTACGAAGGAGAAATTTCTGCGTGCGATTGTGGGCGATCCGCCCCTGGTGGTCGGTCACAATGAAAATGTTGAGATGGAAGCGCAGTTGGCGGAAGTAAAGGCGGACCTCAAGGCTCGCAAAGAAGAAGTCCGAACTATGGTGGAGGAGATGGAGAAGCTGGGTAGGGATCTGGCGAATCGTGAGTACTCCCTTATCTTCTGTACAGTAATGACTTATGTCCGTGGAGCTTCGCTTGGTGACCATATCAACGACTGTCCTAACGATGGAAAATCTTAAAACAGGTTACAAGAATGTCCAGCTACAAATGACCCAACTCTCAACACTTCCAGAGTCGATTGAAAACCTTGAATCCACTGTTGCCGAGCTACGTGCAAAACAAGGATCAGACGCAAACGGCCCAGAATCGCAAAACCTCCCCCTTCCTGCAACGCTGAGTCTCCTGTCTGAGCGGGAGGCGGAGCTTGCGGCTCTTGATCGACAACTTGCTGCGGTGCAGAATACCCTGCCCCGCAAGACACGAGAGGCCGAGGCGGTGGAGCGTGAATTGGGTGTTCTAGAACGGCGGAAGACAGAAGCGATCGCACAGGCCCAAGAGGTTAAGAGAAAGAAGGAGGAAGGCGAAAGTGACGGGCTGGTGGAGACGGGAAGATGGTACCGGAGCGCGGAAGAAACTCTCAAAAACCTTCTAGGTGTTACAGGATGAGGGCACTAGGCGTAGGCATGATTTGACGATACTGGGTCTAGGGACATGGCGTTTGCGGTGGATAAGCCATACATTATTACTTGGTGTTCAGTGCTCAGGGATTACTACGACTAGGGAACCAGATGGTATGGGAATCGAGCCGTAGGCTACTAGTTCATTAATGGAATCGCATGATCGTACAACGTTATACGCTATGCTGCAGCCATAACGGAGCCCCGTGATTTTATTTTGGCTAACGAAACCCGTCCGTACTCCAATTTTTAATCCTTTACTCCTCGTCCTCCTCAGCCTCGTCGTCACCACCACCGGCAGCAGCGGCAGCCTTCTTGCGCTGGACACGGCCAGGGCGGCCACCACCGTAGGGGGAGGTAAGGGCGAAGTCGATGTGCTTCTGGGAGTCCAGGCGGACCATGTAGGAGGGGACGTTGACGATCTGCTTGCCGACACTATTTTGAAGGTTAGTAACTTGGCGTCCTTGGGCCAAGGAGTTATCGGTTGCGCATACCGGATGTGACGCTGCTTGATCAGGACACGGGCGTGGTGGATGGACTTGGCAAGACCGAGCTTGTAGACGCAAGTCTGAAGACGACGCTCCAAGAAGTCCTCAACGCGGAGGGCCAGGACGTAATCGAGCTTCATGCGAGACTCATCGAGGACACCGATGCGGACCAGACGGCGAATCAAAGCGTTACCTTCGAAAAGACGCTTGGGGTCCTTCTCGTCGAGGGTGAGAAGCTCACTGTTCCAACAGTCAGCCATTGTTCCATCACTTTCTCTCGGCCATTCTCATAGTCGATGATCATGCGAAGTGGGGTGCGCATACCGAGCAGCACGACGAATCTTGGACAGGGTGAGCTGGACACGCCACACCTCACGCTTGTTGCGCAGGCCGTACTCGCCGACAATCTTCAGTTCCGAGTCACTAGCGATGACAGTTAGGCATGGGAACACACGACTTAAACAGAAGCACGCTTCTGATCAGTGGCCGGAGAGTACTAACAGACGGGCCGACTCGAAAGCTATATCAACATGTTAGTATAAACTCCATGTCGCAAAGTTATCGAATTTTTGCAAAGACTGATAAGGCTACTTACGACGACGGGGGACCTTGTAGGTCTTGGAGTAAACGCGGCTGTTGAGAAAATTGCCATTAGAATGATGCGATACAGGTATAGCTGATCGCTGGTCGTATACTCACGGGACGGGGGCCATGACTGCTGATTTCGGCTTGTCGCGAGGTTGTCGTACACACCAAACTTCACGAAAATCGCGGAAGATCTGAAGTTGAAGATGCGTTTTGGAGAAGGGAACTAAGCGAGCGAAGGTGGAGCCGGAAGCGGACTAGCGCAAGGGCTAGCCCTCGGCGGCGGAGAACGGCCGCACTAAGCACCCGAGAAGTCTACACCATCGCGAAGGGCGGCATAGCGAGGCATTTCTTCGACGTCGACAAGTTCTCAACACCAGCACCACCAACACCGCCGACATGGGTCACTCGCACGGTTTGAGAGCCGGTACTCGGGTATGTCGATTTTACCCAGGAAATTTTGCAGCACCATTTCGCTGGCCCGAAACGCGACCGCTGACGAACTTTTCAGTATGCCTTCAGCCGTAACTTCAAGGAGAACGGCCAGATTCGCCTGTCGACCTACCTGAAGACCTACCGGTACGCCGAAAATTCTCGCCGATTTGGATAATATTTGCGTGAAGGAGCAGGATCTGATATTTTTCTTAGGGTTGGCGACATTGTCGATATCAAGGTCAACGGTGCCGTTCAGAAGGGGTCAGTACAAATTCCGCCCGGTTGAGATTTATGGGGATTCCGACATGAAGGGTTTTGCGTGTTGGGATGCTCGAAAACTTTGAACGAATAATTGGTTTGCTGAGACATTTGGAAATAGTATGCCCTACAAGGTCTACAACGGTAAGACCGGTGTCGTCTACAACGTGACCAAGTCCTCCGTCGGTGTCCTCCTCTACAAGGTCGTCCGCAACCGCTACCTCGAGAAGCGCATCAACGTCCGCATCGAGCACGTCAAGCACTCCCGCTCCCGTGAGGACTTCATCAAGCGTGTCAAGGAGAACGCCCAGAAGAAGCGCCAGGCTAAGGAGCAGGGTGTCCACCTCCACCTGAAGCGTCAGCCCCTCATGCCCCGTGAGGCTCACCTCGTCGAGGGTACCGCTGCCGAGACCATCACCCCCATCCCCTACGACACCCACATCTAAACGAATCAAAAACGGTCGATGCGGTTGTTTGGTGTTTCTGGGTTTTTCAAACTTAGGGTGGGCCTTTGCAATGAGACGAAGCGAAACAGAGGGTTCCCAGATGTTCTATCACATCTAAATCCTGTGCATAGATTCCCCGGAATGAAAGAAAAAACAAAACTTCCATTTCCCTGTTCGAAAAAATGATATCCATGCGTTTTGCCAAATACCGAAAAATCTGCGAATATGGCTTCTACGACACAACACTAGATTTGATCAACCCAGCACCTTCTCTCAACCCTTTAAACCCGCCATTCGATCCTTTAAACCCTGCAACATGGTGTCTACGGTACGCAACCGTATGCCTGGGACGACAAGTGACGTATGGAGTAGTTTTGGCCCTCTTCGAGTTTAAGCCTGGGACGTTAGATGTAGCCTTGCCTATCCGAAAGCCATATCGAACATGTACACGTAGGGCTGATTTACGATATTATTTGTATCTCTGGATAGTACCCATCTTTGTTCGATTCCCCGCAGTGGATATAGTATTTAGGTGCTATTATCAGCCTCCGCCCGAAGAAGGCTGTCTGTCCCCCGTCGCTCTTCACTTGCTATATGTAGATTAGTTCTCCATCCCCAGTGATTTACCCTTATCGGGTTATCAGTGACGTGCAGGCCAGAATCAATGTCTATATTAGATCCTACGCTGCGCCTTAAATCTATCATACTAGTGATACATCGTCGACTGCTACTAGGATGGCGAGTGAAATATATACGTTTAGTAACTTGAAGTTACTTGTTCGAGTCTATGAATCCTCCCCTACTCCTTCTAACGGGTCTCCTATTCCACAGAGAAATGTTTCCTTGGCAAGGCTACCACTACACTACTAGGTCAGACGTCGCTAACGGTCAAGTGCTAGAAACCATTTTCAAACTCAACAGGCTCAGATCGAGTGTCACTTTCATCAGGCGAACAGTTATAACGATTCGTGATTGTATGCTTTCATGAAAGACGTGCCCGGAAATTCCCCGGAAAGTTGTTAGTCACAGTATACACAGTGGCAAAGTGTGTTTGGTATTCAAAACGCTATGCTTTGTTCTCAGATTCCAGTTTGCGACATGTGCTAGTCGATTTGCCATCAGGCAGCACTGACGGATCCAGTAGAGACCATCAGCTAGCACCGTAAGTTACTTCGTCAGACAACATGACTCCCAACATACTGTCAACCCGAATGGCGCATGGGCAAGCATGTTTCCGTGCAAATGGGTCAGAAAATGAGCCAAAGGCTGGTGACCTTTCTCGGAGTCATAGCGCACATGGACAACAGATTTGTTGGGAGTCAGAGCCGCCCGCTTTAGTGATTCGTCTAAGACACGGGCGATATATGTGGAAAGGATGTAGCATCTCCAACAGGAAGACCTGTTTGTAAATGTTGACTAGTTAGTTCAAAGGACACGAGTCTAGTCAGGTCCGGATCGACCAATGTATTCCGTATGGTTCCTATAGATGATTAGTAGCATAGGCCGCAATTTGGGTAGTCCGCAGTAGCCTATGGTGCCTGCATTGTTAGTGCCCCTTTGACCATGTCGATGCAACCATAGTCACCAGATCCGGTGGTGAAGTTATGCCAGGAAGACTTGACAGTCAGTTCGTACATCATGAAACTTTTTGCCAGCTTCCTTCTTGGAGCTGGTCGAAAACAGTAGCATTTTCCTTGCTGAGGCAGGAGGCTAGTACCCCGGGAATGCGGTCCGGTGCCGTTTCGGCAGGTCGATACACCTGTCAAGGGAGGGTCTCCGAAACAGTAGAGTATTTTTCTAATATAGTGAATAACAGCACCGGTGAATAGGAAAGGAGTTAATGGGCAACCCTAAAAATAAGTTGGTCCTTTTTTTTCTTCCCCCTTCTCTAGGGGGGTGTGGGCAAGGTTGAATCGGCCCAGGAGCAAAGCACAGCAGCAGTTCGGTTCGCGAAGAGAGTAAGTAACTCCAGCGCGGCTCCAGCCACAGGGTTTGCGGGAGGCCAGCGCGCTAACCGAAAGCAGCCCGCCTTAGTGCCTCAACCTGAACCGTCAAGTCATCGTCCATGACTGCAGCCATCACCCGATCACCATCCCGAGAAGCACCACCTCCTTCGACACGAACCTCCCTTTCGGGACTCTCTCTCTGGGCAGCGGCCTTCTACCATAATACTGCCAGCCTTCTCACGCCCCCGCCCTTCTGCCTCGACATTCACTTGGTTACCAGCCTCCTAACACTGGTCCCCTCTCCACCGTCCACCTGGTCGTTCGGAGCTTTTACGGCTCAAGTAGTTGAGCTTACAGTTCAACCGTGGCGATTCTTGATACCTGACCATAGGTATATTCTCAGCCCGTCCCTTCTCATGCATTCATAAGTTCAGGATTACAGTCGCCACTTGTTTCCGTGTTTACAGTTTCAGAACATTTGTCTAACAGATGTCGCAACCTGTTGGCCTCACAGACTCAAGAATTGTTATGGCAGAGCAGAGCAGCCACGATGTGGTAGACCAAACCCTGTCGGGCGGCGATCCTTCGCCTTCCGACGTTCCTGCGAGCACCACCGACAAGAGATCTGCTGGAGGGGACGCGGGGGAGTTTAAAGACACCGCTACAACAACACAACCGGAGACGAACGCGAGTGACAAACAGGGTGAACAAGGAACGGGAACTACCGAAAAGTCAGAGCGAGAAAACAAAACAAAAGATACCGATCAGACGCCGAGCGTGAGTGATGCCGACAACGACCTCGCAACATACCTACTGAACCCGATGCAGGATACCCCAAAGTCTGGTCCTCTGCCGGTCGCCGCACGGGCGCTCGAGATGAATGGAGTAACGTCTGGGTCAGATGCTGGGGAGGACACAGCGTCTCAGGGAGGTTCAGAGTCCGATGCCAGTCGAACAGAGGGCAGGCTTCGTGCCGGCTCGAAGAAGCCAACCTCCTTCAAGCCGGTTACATTTGCCAAGTTTTCTGTTCCCAAGGCGCCGGGAACTCCCCCGATAACAAAGGCTTCTGAGAAAGGTATTTTACATTCACGTGTAATACACAGGAATTAAGTCTGATTCACTACAGCCCCTATGACTTCCACTACCCCTCTGGGGACGCCGCCGCCAACCTCCCGTCCTCGCTTGGTCGTCAAGACTACCAGCAGTCTACGCGACTCGTTATCGAAAATGGGAACAGGTGCAGCCAAGCCTGGTGGAGCTGGACCGGATCCGAACCAAGTTTGGAATAGGAATCGGCGTAAGACTACAAACCTTCCAGTTAACTGAGATGTGCTTCTGACCATCTTGTCCTTGCAGCCGTCCAGCAAACGCCTCCCAAGCACTTGACCGACGAAGAGTTGAAACAACAGTACGGCATCCATATGACCTCAAGGATACAGGAAGACGGCGGGGGAAGCGAAGCGAAATGGGCAGACATAGATGACGACGAGGATGATTGGGCTCCTGAGACGATTGAGTGGACTGATGGCACGAAAACTAACCTCACCAACCAAGAGCCTGCGCCATCCGCTCCAGTACCCAGCCAAGACACGGTGGCAGATGATTTCAAAAGGGAGTTCCCTCCAGTTGAGCAAGCAGCAGCAAGCATCAAGGAAGCGCCAAAGTTCATACCGAAACCTACGACGTCTATTGGGCCAAATCCCACGGTGCTTCGACTCGGAGCAAATGCAGAAAGACAAGCAAAGAATGCCGGTCTTGCTGCAAAGGGACTGAATGACAAATCTCCTCTACTATCCACAAGTCCGGCCCCTCCGCCCGTCAAGTCGCCTTGGGCACCTCTGCCACCGGTTGAAAAGATCTCACCTGTTATTCCTCCAATCCAGGTTCAACCGCCGATGCGGGCTCCTGCTCGGGAACCTTACCCGGCTGACGGTTCCGGTGGTCCCTTTCCTCCAAAGGAAATTGCTGCGGACGATTTCAACCGATCTTGGAAGGAGATGCAGTCTGGGACCCGGGAGCTCTACAATTCTCGATCTGGCCGCTATGAGCCTGCTCCTGATACGAGGAAAGGGCCTTGGCGCGCTGAACAGAGTTACCGTACCCCTGCCTTGTTGCAGAGGCCTGCCCAAGGTGAACAAAGTGGACCAGCAGAGCCCTCAGCCGCTTTCCAGACACACCGATCGAGCGGTCAAGATGGTATGCACTGGACACGGCGTCGAACATCGTCTAATGTGAGCGGGGGAAGTGGCAGCTTTGGGCGTCGGATGTCGATTGGTAGACCCGATGTGCCCCAGAAAGTGTTCGAATCTAGGAGAGGATCACAGGTAAACGGAATGATTGAAGCGGCCATCCCTCCTAGAGATATGCCACCTCCCAAGGAAGCTTCCCAACGCGAGATATCGCCTTCCCGACGTGGTCCTGGTCCTTGGCCTTCAAGAGGTGCTGCAAATGTGCAAGACAGAATAGCCAATGTACCGGGCGGGACAGCACAGCCACCCACTGCCCCGACAGTGGAAGAGCAGCCAGCAGTGCCCCAACCGCCTCAGGAAGACCCTGTCGCTATGCAAGAACGCATCATGAAGGAAAAGAGGATGGAAGCTAGGCAGCGGAGAATAGAGCAGGAGGAGCGGGAAGAGGCTGCGAAGCGTGAAAGGATCCGGCAGAAGCTCGAGGCGCTTGGTCCTCCGCCCGAAAAGCAAAAATCAAGGCGTAAGGAGTCCATTGATGCCGGTAAGCCCGAGGCAAGCATCGCGCAGGCTACCGCGCAAGCGGCCCATTCTCCTCCGAAACCTCCAGTACCTGAACCGAGCGGGGAGCCGAAGCAATACGGAATGATGAAGGTCCACCATCCAGACACTGTGAAGAAGCTTGTGGATAGGGAAAGGGGCCATACGGATAAAGCACCACCAGTTGCTACTGCGCGACGCACGTCTTCGCCGGCGCGTGAGCCCAAGCAAGAGACTAGCCTGCCGAACGGATCTCAGCAAACTGTTGTTGCTGAAACCTCAAGCTCAGATAACTTGCCGGATACCAAGGTCGACGAACAAAGTTCCC